TGGCACAACTTGAGGCCATTTCCTCTCGTCCTATCGCTTGTTACTTGGGAGAAAAGACCGACACCCACCTTGCTACAGCCTCCTTTCAGGTAGTTGTAGAGAGCGATGAGGTCTCCCCTCGGCCTCCTTTTCTCCAGGCTAAACAACCCCAGTTCCCTCAGCCGCTCCTCATAAGACTTGCCCTCATGCATTTATTTACACTGTTCTACAAAAGCAGATACATGTGTCGCTACATATGTGACCCTCTTTACAGCCTGGTAGTTTCAAGTTTGCGTTTATATCTGGGGTGTGTTGTTCCATAAAACAGGAGCTGTGCCCTTAACATCCAGCTTTCCCCTGTGGGTTTTGTTAAATACCTGTCAGTGCTTTTGCCCACCTACACCCACCATACCCACCAGTGGGATTAAACTTACTTTCCACATGTGGAGGTGGAGATGGATGCAGGAAAGCTAAAGGATTATCTAAGTAACCTTTTTTTTCCTCAAAAATGAACAGTGAGTGCTGGGGAGAGGTATCTAGGTACCAAAGAAGCTGCATGCCTGAGGGGGTCTAACACCACAGGTGAGTTGCATGGGCAGTGAGTAGCTGGTAACTCTGGTACTCAGCTAAAAGAGCTGCATCATTTTGTTGAAGGCTCTGAGGTACAGAAATAGTTATGTGGTAGGATACCAAGACTGTACATTTCTGGTGTACTAGTGCTGACCTTGTATCCACTGTGTGCATAATTGCAGCTGTCAGCTGTCACTGATTGGGAAATTCAGTTGTATGGCCTCTCAACTGTAAGACTGGGAATGCCCTGAAATGACAGTCTCTGCTTCCTAGTGGGGTTTTAAAATTTGACCATCATAAATCACTTAGGCTTTCTGATAGTATTAAGTTAGATTATTTAATTTGTACATTAGTGTGCATACGTGTCAGATCTTCTTATTCCATGATCTGGTTATGATTGAGTTTCACCAGTTCCTTTAGAAAGTCAAGGTCTTTTCCAGGAGCAAGATCAGAGGTGAAGTTCAAAGTTCTTCTATTCTCTGACAAAAAAAGGGAAAACCATGTGCAGTATTTCAGTATATATTCACTGAAACCTTGTTGTCATAGTATTTCTTCTATCTTTGGTTTTAGTAGGCATAATAGACATTGTCAATTACAAAAAAACCACTTAGTTCAATTTTATTGCACCGGGGTGTTATTTATATAGTCTGAGTTCAGACTGGTGTAAAGAATATGAACCTTTTTCTTCAAGGGTTTTTCATTTTGTTTTTCTGTTTACTAATGCTGACGGTTTTGGCTTATGTATTTTTCCTTACGTGAATAATTAAACTTTTGAGGACAACGTGGAGGATGTTTCTTAAAATGGCCTAGCTGCATTTGACTTTTCTGAGCCATCTGAAGGACGTTTCTATCTAACTGAAAAGAGACAACATTTTAAACTTTAGCTTGCAATATGATAAGGAAAAGAAATTTCCTTTTAAACTTATGAAATGTGTTAGTGGTGTAATTGTCAGAAGGGAAATATGAAGGCCTACTTGAAAAACATGATATGGTTCATATCTTGCAGGCTTTTTGTCAAACGGGTTAAACTTAACTGAGACATTAAAAACTGAAGTTTGGTTTCTCTTATATGACTTTCATATGACTAGTAATAGAAATGGTAATATTTCTGCACAGCACTTACCATCAATAGGCAGCTTAGAAATGCCAGCTGTAATTAAAATACTTGGATATAGAAAAACACTTGACTATTAGCATGATTGAGCAAAAATAACTTAAGTAAGTAGCGTTGCTATTTATATACTCTTTTGGTGCAGAAATCTCTTTACAAAAATTATCTCAAAACATAATTACTTTGAAAAAACTTTTAGCAATTACCACAACTTAAATAAATCTTTTCCTATTGCTTCATAGAATTTTCATTTCTAAATAAATGAATTGAAACTCTGCCAATTGAACATTCTAGTAATACAGTATTTTATTAATTAATAAATTGATTGTTTATTTAAGGCTCATTTTAAACTCCGTTTCCTGCCACTGCAATTTTCAGATCAAATTTAATTTTCTGATTATTTTTGCAACTGTAATGTTCATTTTAAGACTGAAAGATTCAGAATAAAATCTTTTATGAAATAGTAGAATATACTTTATGTGAAACTTGAAGTGGGTGAATGGCATTCCCTTTCGACTCAATGGGCATAGGAATGAATGCTGATTCGGTGAGTACTAACCTACCCGGCTTCCTCCTTCGGGCAGGAAGTGGGAAGGGACCCCTCTTCACCTGCACTGTTGTAACTCCCTCCGACCAGGGAGGAGCAGGAGGGGTTGTTTGTCTGTGCAGGTACAATCCGCCTGCTACTTCTGATCTTGAATTGAGACTCTTCCCCCTGTAGGCAGAACCCATTAGAAATACATGAGCTCAATTTCTCTCAGTGTTTGGGCAGAATTTATACATCTGCCAAGTAGATTTTAAATGCATCAAACAGGGTGTTAGCATTTTACACTTAAATTTAACTCTCTGCAAGATCTTTGGCCTGTTTCGGTGGCATAAATTAGTAGTAAAGCTGTTGAATTTAACTCCATCAGATTTTAAACTCACCCAATGAATCCTCAGGTAACATAGCTACTTTATATGGCAAATGTACCCTTGAATTCCAGTCTTCAGGAATGGCTTTTTAGGCAGCTGGGAAGTTTGAATCACCCCGGACTTGGGGATGAATTACGCTAAACTTCCATGTGTCTGATAGTGATGTAAAACTATTTTTCTTCATCTGTGTTATTCTGCAAAAGGAACTGTTGCTCACACCTTGTATTATGTCTGTAAGAAGTACAAGACAATGAGGAATCAGACCCTATGTATTTCTAGTGCATTGGCCTGCTTAAAAAACTTAATTGGCGGAATTAATTCAGAAATCTCACTGACTTTTCTCAAAAATGGGTGAAACTTAGCTTTTCTCACTGCTTGTTAAATGCAGGTTCAAATTGAAGGGATGGAATAATATATTTAATGACTTTAAAATGCAGTTTAAGCACTTCCCTTGTCCTTCATTGGTTTTGTTGCTCTTTCTGTGGGACTTAATGACCTCTTGATACTTTATTTTTCTATGAAAAGCTTTTTTTTAATCTGATCATATGCACTCTTAAAACAGAGAGTGAGAACCGGAAGGTCATTTTTGCTAGAAACTGCTGCAGGAGGTGCCATTTAAATTCCAGGTGATTAGGAGGAGAGCAACTGAATTCGAGTAGAAAACCTGAAAAAAGGCTTGAAAAAAATTTAAAAGGCAGTGTAGAAAATGAGGGAAAGAGCATATGAGAGTTGCGATTCATTTGCAGACAGAAACATTTACTGGCTGCAATGGCTGCTATGCAAATGAAACGTGTATACACATGAAAGAGCATTTAAGCTGACTTTCTCAAAACCTAGCATGCATTGTCATTGAAGATACCAAAAAAGTAATTCCAGAAGTTTTAGATTATCTTCCTTCAGTAACCATATTGCTTCCACTTTTTCTAGTTCTTTTTAAATAAACAGTTCAAGAGCTCCATCTTTGGGTTTAAATTATTATTGTAAAAAAATACTACTTTCCTTTTGCATTGATTAAATAGTGCCTAACATCCCATAAAGTTATGTATATCTGCTCATACCTTGTCAGTTTGCAATGCTTAACTTTTCTAGATGCATTTGTTCAGTCGCCTTCTCATAAACTTCCAATACTTTCTGTATAAGATTGTTGTTTTCAGTTTTTCTCTCATTAATTTGTTTTTGGTGGATTATGTTTTTCCTTTCCAATGATGATATATAAATCAACTTGACAGTTCATAAAATATTAATGGATCATGTGGACAGATAATAGTGGCAGAAGGAATTTTAAAACGGGCTGTTTTTCAGGTAGGATTTATAATTTGCTATAAATTAGAACGCTTTTATTAAAATCAAGCATATGCTGATTGTTGTCAATGCAGAATCTGATCATGTTCTTTTGGGAGCTGAATTTTAGTGAAAAATTAGTTTTGTTTCTGCCAGTGCAGCAGATTGCTCAAAGACTTAACGTAAATATTCCGGTGAGAAAATTTGAATCCATTTTGTTTTTCAGTAAAAACTCTCCAATCCTTCTAGAAGGTCTTTGGGGAAAATGAAGTTATTTGAAAAATTTTGCTCCTCAAACAATGTCGTGGAAGTGGCACATTGCAAAGTAAATTAAACCGTTAATCACAGAAATCCATCATACATGAGACTACTCTTATGATTATCTTCTCTCAGTTTTTTTTTTTTCTCAAGCAAGGTTTTATTTCTTCCTACTTTCTAAGTATTTTCAGTGGCATACTCTGCTTACATTCTGAAATGACAAGTACAGGCAGTTCTTTTAACTTACCTTGATTATCTTGTCCTGATAGCTGAAGAATCTGCCTTGCTTCTGTTTTCCATAACAACACTGTAGAGAAGTAGTGAATTGATAATTTCCCATTATTGCTTAAATCAATAAATCAAAAGTACAGGCAGTTCTTTTAACTTACCTTGATTATCTTGTCCTGATAGCTGAAGAATCTGCCTTGCTTCTGTTTTCCATAACAACACTGTAGAGAAGTAGTGAATTGATAATTTCCCATTATTGCTTAAATCAAGATAAATCAAAACAAAGCCGGGACTCGACCCCATTCTCATTGCCCCCAACAAATGCCTTAATCTATAACCAGTTTACCAGAGTATTTATTGTTGCTTTTAGTTTTTTTAATATTGAACCTAAGTTAGCAACAAGCACTGATCTGGTGCCACATAATTATTTAGCCCATCTCCATAAAATAATTGCTACTGATGATATGTTCAGTATTTTATTGCTGTCTTTTGTATTCAAGGCGTTCTATTCCTTTGTTATTTACTTTCTTTCCCAGATTCCCCAAAAGAATTGGAAATCACAAGCATACCTTAACTCCCATTAGCCCACGTTCTTTCCAAGCAGGAGGTGGAGACAAAGAACACAAAATGCTGAGAGGTCTAATACCCATTATCTTTCTGCTGGCTTCAGTTCTTTATCTCTGGAAACTCTGTAAAAGAAACTCAGATCTGACTGTATTAGAATGCCCACCTGAAAGAGACTTCAGTTTTCTTTCAGACACCTTGTATGTCTTGCAAAGCTTTGCAAACTTTATGAACATGTTTTTAATTTCTATTTAAAATAGAAGAAATGCAAATTAAAATAGCCATAAAATACCTTATATTTCTTTCAATGGGGAAATTAAGAAAATCACAATCATGACAGAACCCAAGCTCATTACTTCATTAATGGTCAGTATACACATTGATTGACATCCTGACTGAGGGTATCGTAACAATGCAGCTAAATTTTATCCTCATTTTGGACAGTGCGTATCCCCATTATCCCCATTTTGGACAGTCTTAATTTAAAATGTGACAGTTCTTTTGTAAAACATGAATATATTTAAAACTAAATCTAAACTTAAGTGCTGTTCAGAATAAGGATGCTTTTTCTATATCAGGCCTTTGTCATTGTTTTTTGTTGCCTTAATGAGAGTCATGCGTTGTATAAGACATTAGGCAAGTATTAACTTAATATCCATTGATGAACAAGTCTATTAAGAGTGTAGATTAACCTAAAGTATGCTGCTTGCTTTTTCAGACAAATTAAATAGTTGTATTAATGCCATGGTTTTATCTTTTAACAGTTCAGCCCTCAAAGAGATTTTTAAGAAGTGGAGGGCCAAGACACAATAGCTTAAAAATAGTGGGATCTATCGTATTTCCAGGTATTTTTCTTTAAACATAATATAACAATTTTAGTGAAAACACTGTTTTTACCAAGAAAAGGCCCTTCTTTATCATATGCCTTGTTGTTAAATTGTTTTAAATGGTTTTAAGTGGTTTAATTAACTAAATTGTTTTAAATGGTTTTAAGTGGTTTTATAAATTACAATTCTGTACTGACTTATGTATATTTAATAGGCTATCCCACAGCATATATTTCTGTCATTGGAATTTATTTTTCATAGGTTTTTTTATTCTTACTCATAACTTTTATGAAACCAAGAAAATTATTTTCTGTAATTGTTATAAAAATAACAATGTTCTGTGTACTCTTCCACCTGGCTGTATGACTCGTGCTCCGAAATGCTGCTTTCTTGCACTGTAGGTATTCCGACTTCATCTTGTTATGTACACAGAACCTGAGATTCAAAATTTATGTTATATGCTACAACAGAAATTAAGAAGAGAGAATAATTAATTGCTTTCTCAGTTAAATTCATCTAACTCCAGAATATTATCACTTTCTCTTCTCATTAAACAAAACAATTATTGGAAAATCTGAAAATTAAATTAAAGACCAGGCGGTTCCTCATTGTCATATATTTACTCATGTTGCTTTTTCTCTAAATGCACATTGCCGGCTTGGTTTCATTAATACTCTTCCCCATAGTTTTCTCCATGTGTGTTTTCCAGTTATAGCTTTACTAGTAGCATATCTAGAAGTGATACTTCTGTTGTTTGGGGGAATGCTAAAAGGCAACATTTTTTGACCTTTTTTTGGTACAAATTCTTAGACATATCAATTTTTGTCCAAAGGTGAAACAATTCTGGGAAATAATTTGCTTTTAAAGGTGTCTCTTAGTAGTTTAACTTATAATATTATTTAGCATTAATGTTAAATAATGGCTCTGAGTGGTCTAAGGTTCATCCTATTGGTGTACTTTTTCTCTCTTCTGATTCTGACTCATGTCTGTAAACATGGCTACTACTCGAATGGCACAGGGCAATTTGAAAGTTAGAAAGCAAGATTAAAATGTTTTGTCCCAACTCTGTTTCTAAAAACAATTTAGTATTAATAAAGAATGTTTCTACCTTCTCTGGGACAGACCATTGTGAGTATACCAGACTTGGCTCCAGTGTTCTTTTGAGATGCTGGGCAACATCTCTATTTTGAGGGTTTTTTTCACCAGAATTTGGTTAAATACAATGCTACACTATTAAAATCCTTCACTTTTAAAATACCTGACATAAATGTTCTTTTTCGGATCACCATCTAAGGTAAATATTTTTATAATGGAGAGAATATGAACAAATAAGGAAAATAGCAAATAACTTCAATTTAAAGAGTAAGACTTTATTTTGAAAGAAGAAGAATAAGGTTATAGCCGGTAGATATTTTTTCAGCCATTATTTTCTATCAGATGCCCTTCTGTTATATTATTCCTATGATACATGTTTACAAAACTGTCATGGAAATTTACAGTGGTGGGACAGAATTTACCATCTTGGCAGGTTATGATAATAATGACACCATAATTTTGTTACTTTTTATTATGGATATGTAATTTTTTTAATATTGCTACAAGACAGAACAAAGCAACCTTGAGGAAATAAAAAACAAAATGTGAAGTGGGAGAGATATGCAACGTATACAATTATGCCTCAATAGACTATTACTAAAGCCAGTCGGTTAGTAAATTCTGAGAACAAGTATTAAGGGTTTGCAATTGAAAAAAGACTACTCATATTGGCAGTTGCACTAACATGTAGAATTCATATTAATTTTCATGCTTCAGGGTTAAAAACTGAAACACCACCTGTAAATGACATTTATTTCCATGATATACTATTGTACAATTGAAAATATATACTTTGCTGTTTTCTGTAATATAAGCTACTGTAAAAAACTGATTACTAGCTGGGATGGACATACCTCCTGATCTAAAGACTAGCAAAATTCTGAAGTTACTCTTATGTATTAAATGTTATATCTAAGTCTTTATTCTGTTTAAACAACTTAATACTGTAATGTGAACGTAAGTGGCTTTTCATTTTTTAATGAAAGCGAACAATCATACTTGGAGAGGAGAGAAAACTGTGGTGGCATTACCACCAGTTGCCACAATGGAAAAGTGAAAACTGTTTTTCTGAGCATTAATCCCTTCCTGCAACAAATACTTAAACTGACTTCCACTTGCAGGGAATCTGAAATAGTCAATGGTAAGATAACATTGTGGTTATCTGCTTATTTGATTCAGTTTTAATTATTAGTCAGATTCTCCAAATCACAAATGTAGTAGCTGTAATGTTTTACACTAATTGTAGCTTTTCAGTGGCATTAGGGTAGCCTGATGCTGAGCATGGTATATTCAAGTTTAGACCTCACTAGAGCATAAATATCTAGCATCCTATGCTTCTGAAGAGGACAAATGCTTTGCAGTATGTCAGTGGGAAGGGAAATAAAACAAATTGTGCACACTGAAATCCTGCATATTATGGAAGTGATTATGACTACACCAATCGTACTTTTTAGAAACAACTGAAGATCTAGAAGCACCTGTGTGCTACAAATCGCATACAAGACATGCACACCTGCTTTACCGTGGGAAAAGGCTAAGTAAATCCTTACCTTACTCAGTTTGCTTCCAACCTCATTATGTCTGAATTAAATAATACGCAGCTTACCATTTAGTGAGCTACAACATTAAACACTTTTTAAGCAAATACATTGTGCACTGGTAAAAGGCAATTGCTAATAGAACGGAAACAGCAAGCTGTCAAGTCTGCGTATCTTGCAGCTTCACTCTCTCCATGTGTGAGTTGGAGACCAATTGAGACAGAACGTGGCAGGAGCCCGTGCTTGTGAGAACCTACTAAGTGACATACTCCCTTCAGGAGGATGTTACAGTGCACTGTGCTTCTTGTTTACACAACCAGATAAGCCTAGAACTAGAAAGAACTCTCTTAATTTTATTTTCCAGAGAAAACAAACCTGCGCTTTATTTTGTATTTAATTTTGATGGTAGAGATAACAGAACCAGTCCCAAAATTAGAACTCCATTCAAGATCATTGTTGAACCACTGTCTTGAAATTTATATAGCTCACTGTTAGTGAACCATTGATAAATACTTGATGCTAATGATAATTTTTTTTCAGTTAAAGTTTATGTCAAGCTGAATCACAACAGTCCACGTATTTTATGTCTTACAAATCATCTGCGAAACTTAGAACTGATTGATCCAATATTCCAGTGGAATGGACCAGGTGGTGGTCTTTCTTCAGGTAAGGATTTATTTTCTTACATGTCCCCCCACACCCTCGCCCCTTCCCCCCACTCCCCCCCCCAAAGCAGCATGAGGGTTATAAAGGTGGGAATGTAAATGGAGAAGTAACTGAGGATACTTTGCGAGTTGTGTAAATCGTATAAATTAGCTTTAACTTTTCAGAAAGAAAGGGGTGAGATAACCAAACTAAAACACATTTTCAGATCTCTGTAAAGAATGGTGCCATCTCTAAAGGGTACTAGATGGAGTAGGGCATGCTGGATGCAACAGAGGCTGAGGATGACATTCTTTGCTGCACTGAGAGACAGCTGGGAGTGTTCTGCAAGGATAGAATAATAGGATGATGGGCAGTGTGATCTAGCCCAAGTGCCTGCTCAATGACAGACTACCTTCAGATATGAAGTTGCTCAGGGCCATGACTACTTGAGTGTGGGGAATCTCTATCCTTGGAGATTTTCTGTCTTTTCTGTGCAACCTGTTCCTCTTTTTTTCTTATTTTCAATCATAATTTCCCATATTGCAACTTGTCATTGTTGCTGCTTGTCCTTTTGTGGTGCACCTCTTAAAAAGTGTGGGTTATTCTTCCCTGTATCTCCCCTTAGTGAAGGACTGCAGTTCCCTCCTTAGACTTCTCTAGGGTAAAAATCCCAGTTTACTCTGCCTCTTGTCCTATGCTCCAACTCCCTAATCATCTCAGAAGCCTTCTTGTTGACTTGCTCCAGTTTGTTAGTATCTGTCTTGTACTGAGGAGTCAAAAATGGACATAGTGTTCCACAGTGCCCAAATGAGCGCTGAGTAGGGAAAGGATAATCACTTCTTTTGATCTGCTGGATATACTGTTGCTAATGCAGCCCAGTATGTAGTTAGCCTTCACTGCTGCAAAACTTTCTGATTCATGTTCAGTTTAAAAGCCACCAGGACTCCCAGGTACTTTTTTGCAGGGCTGCTCCCAAGTCATCTGGTCCCCATCTGCATATGTTGCTGCTTTTATTCTGTCTCAGGCACAGGACTTTGCATTTATCACTGTTGAACTTCATGAGGTTTTTGGCAGACTGTCTTTCTAGTCATGCAAGGTCCCACTGAATGGCAGCAATGTCCTGTAGTGTATCAGCGCCCCCCCCGCCAATTTGATGTCTTTTGCATACTGGACCAGAAGGCATTCAGTCCTGTGGTGTAGGCCACTGGTAAAGACGTTAAGCAGTTCTGGTGCTTTTATCAGCCCTGAGGAAAGCTCTTCATAACTGGCTGCTAGGTAGACCAATCTTCAAAATGACGATGCAGACGGTTTTTCATCCATCTTGTATTCCACTTATCCAGTCCATGTGTCCACAGCTGGGCTACAAGATGTGATGGAGGACCATACTGAAATCCTTGCTGAAGGCTTTCAGTGTATATGACATCTACTGCTTTCCTTTCACCCTCAGAGGCAGTCATTTAGTTCCAGAAGACACTCAGGCTGGTCAGCCATGATTTGCCAATGGCAAATTGATGCTGCCTGTTCTCAATCACTGTCTTGGCATTCATGCATCTGGAAATGACTTCCAGCAGTTCTATAACCTTTGCAAGGCCTGAGGTGAGGATGGCTGACCTGTGATTCCATGGGTCTTCTTCCTTGCCTATTTTTATGATGGATGTATTTTTTTGGTCTTTCTGGTCATTGGGGACCTCATGACCATCAAAACAGACAACAGTCATTAATTAGTCAGCTCCCTCAGCATCCTCAGATAAATATCATTATGGTCTATAAACCTGTATATGTCCAGCTCACTTAAGTAAGTCCCTACCACCACACTGCTCTCTCCCTGTAGCATCTCCCCTAAACTCTGGTAGAGCCTGGGGCAGGGCTGGAAAGCAGCCCTTGCTAGGAATGAGTGAAACAAAGGCGGCGTTGCGTACCTCAGTGTTTTCCATGTCATTTGTCACTAGGTCATTCAGCCCCATTCAGCCTGGAGCCAACATTTTTATTGCTCTTCCTCAACTGCATGTGTTTCTGTTGGTCCTTCACATTCCCTGCCAGTTTCAACTTCTGGTTAATCTGCTCATGGAGAATGTAAACATTCCTTTTCAGAAAGATGCCTCTAATGAAATCATTGTCCCAATCTGCTAGTATGGCATGAAAACCCCAAATCATTGTTTCTGCATGGAGTATGTTGTGCTACTTGTACATACCTTATTTTTCTCACATAACTAGGATTGCTTAGAGATCATGACTGGCTCATCATCAGTATCTTTTCAAGTCTGAGCAGGGAACCCGAGTTCTATTTTTTGTTTCCTTCCGTGTATGTCTCATTTACCCTTTAGTGTAATTTCATTTTTAAAAAAGACAATAAGCATTGTGATGAATTTATAAACCTGTTTAATCTCTTATTTTAGTTTACAATTTAGTTTATGAACCATTCATCCTTGTACAATGGCAGTGTTTCCAAATCCTATTTGCTTTCCTCTTAGTCTATACTGCTGTCTATCAGAACTCTGTCCTTGGTCTTATATTTTCAAGTAACTTTTCCTGTTACACAATCTGAAATACCATTTACACCATTGTGAGTCTTCATTCTTAATCCTTTACATGCCAACCTTCATAGTACAGCATTTCACATTTATATGACATCTAACACTACACTGTGTTTTTGCTCTGAATCTAATAACAGACTTCACCCTCAGAAAGAACTTTTAGCATTCTTTGAGAGAGGTTTTAGAAAAATTATTTTTAAAAAGTGGTAATGAGAGGACTTCAGCTTCAGCCACCACAATTTTGGGTAAATACCACAAAGATACTTAGTCTCCTAAGGCTGTTGTCACATTCATTTTTGTTTGATTCAGAGAAAAGAAAGTATAAGCAGACAAAAAGCTATTTAAAGTTTCTAGCTCATGAAACGTTTGCTGTGTAAAAGATTTTGATCATTCAGCCTCCTTTTAGAACAGGTGTAATCCTCTCTAAGTGGTAAAAATCATCTGGGTTTTAGTGTGACTAGTTAGTCTTCTAATATCTATCATAGCGAATCTCCTTAACAGTAGGCAATTAGGATTCATAAACCTTGCTTGATAAACTATTTCATACTTTTTCAGTGTGGTTGTAGGAAAGAAAAGAATCCTTTTGGTGGAAATGTAGAATCGTGAATCGAGTTTTAGGAAAGATTAACAAAATACTGCTTCTTGGAACGCTTCCCAATAAATGCAATTATTTAAGCATAAAATCTGTAGGAAAAGAGCCTATCTTTCATTGTACTATCTGTCATAGCTAGAAAAATCAGATTCTTTTTCAGGCACACCAGCCGTTGACACACACCCTAAGAAGGTGTTTTGTGCCCCAAAAGTCTGTCTAGCTATATACATCAAACATCATGGCTACAATAGAAGCTCACAAAGAGCAGTAAACACTTTTCCTTCTGTAGCCATAACAAAACAGTTCTGTTTTTTGAACAAGCAGATTTGTTCACAGATAGTTTCAGTCCACTTATGTGCAGTTGAAAGAGTAATGAAAAATTAAATACTGTACAAAATGTAATTTAAAATCATTACAACTTTAAAATTAGCGAGTCATTTTTCTTCACTTAGCATAGTGACTCTTTTGCACTAAGATCTGGAAATTGTACTTTGAAGTTTTTGAACAGCTGTTGGGCTGGTTGAAAATAAGAGTTTTTCAAAATACACTTTAAATGGAGGAAAAAACTTTAAAATAATTGATTCTTATGTTCTGGATCTTAAAGTTTTACTGCATAAACCAGCATTTTTGCTGGTGTTCTGAACAGCTAAATAGAACAAAAAAGAGAAAGCGTTTTGATCTTTATTTCCAAATGCAGACATTGGAATAGGCATGTTCTAGTTTGGTGAAAATGAACCTAGGAATTTGGATTTACAGGAAATCTACTGCTTTTCATACACATTGCCACCTAATATATGCATAGAAGGAATATTTGAGTTGGAAGATTGTGACTGTCCTTTCATAGGACTGAAAAAATTGTGTACTATAGTTTTGTAAAATAAAGCAACTGACAAATTAAATACTGCACTCAGACTTTCAACTACAAGCTAACCCCCAGATATTCTAAAACCTATTATTATTGGTCTATCAAACAGTTCTGTGGAGAGGGAAGGAAAGAGAATCAGAAGAAATATGAAGCTGCTTTTAGTAGATGTGTATATCTGTATACTCATGCTATCCTTATAACTGATACATGACTTGTACATGTTTCCTGACAGACTGTCAGAGTCCTGTCTGGACTACAAAGCAGAGTATGTTTCATTCCTAAGAAACTTTTCAGGTGAACTCAAGTTTATTATATACTTTGTTAGCTGTTGGTTCTGTACATGTGTAATTCATCACTGAATTTACCTATTTGGACATCTTTAGATATTGCATATTTAAATATGAACATGCTCAGTAGTTTAATCTGAAGATTAGAATTTATGATCTGGATTGATAGCTGTTTCTAAATGTCTGAAAAATCTGTTTCTGAAAAGTCCATTGGCCTGATTCTGCTGTCATTTACTTTTGTTCTTGATACATAAATTCAAAATACAGAATTTGCTCTACTGTAAAATTGGTCTGAATGAGAGATGGGGTGGGAGGATGGGGAGTAACTATTTTTTGCACTGAAAGAACTGGAAGGAGAATCAATCTATTGGTTTTAAGTTTAGTAAACAGAGAAACTAAAATATAGGAACACTTAGTTTTAAATATAATTATACAAGGGTATGGAAAGATAAGTCTCCGTAACATAATTCTCATAGGACTAGCTCTGTTTTGCACCCTTCTAATTCCTGAGGATCCTGGAAAATGGTCTAGCTTCCTCTCTTAGCATGAATTAAAAAGGAACTTCTGTTTTAAATCATGCCAGTTTTCACTGACTCCAGGGAACCTCTGAACGTGATCACATTGCTTTTTTGTCCATCAGGCATGTGAAATGCCTCCTGTGTAACAGAGGCATATTAAATCATACAATGTAATTCACATCACAAAATGTGATATGAAGTCCTGCTCACCTGTCTTACTGAACCTCCTGCAGAGGAATAACATGGAAAAAATATTAGATTTAAGAAAAGGGTGGATAGCTTAATCACTTTTAAAATTTGATTTTAAAGCTAACAGTCTGTTTTCTGAACCCAAATTCATCTGAGTAGGAAGTATTCATCCAGATAATCCCATGGAAGAAGGCATTTTAAGTGAGGTTTCTTTTATAACACTTGGGAAAAAAACCCACCACAACATGACATACTCTTGATTTCATGATCCAAAAGGAGATTCTTCACACACAGACATACCATTAGAATAATTAATGGTTACTGTGTAAACATTCTGATCTTTTCTGGTATATGAAGCATTCATTGTTCAAGGTAGAATAAAATTCTGTAATAAACTCAGTGACTCAATCCACCAGAAGAACGCTTCACTTTTCCATTTCTGCTGATGTACGTTCAAAAAATATTTGTGACCAGATCTCTTCACTGGATTTCCAAGCTTTGTCCTTTGCAGACTTCTTGTCATCCTTGCAGTTCAGTAATGCATTTATAAGTATAGCAAAGCTGTCTGTGATATATCTTAAAGGTGCTACAGCTATCTAGTCAGCTAACAGTGGTGTTGCTTTTGGCCCACACAGGGCAGTTGCATATGCCAAAGATTAGAACTATAGTTCTTAAATCTATGCTGTTTTTCTGACAATATTAATCTGATAGTTATTCCAGCATACAGTAGCAAATGACATCCTAGTTTACAGACTTAGCATCCTGAGTATCTCATCATCAGATTAAAAACCTCTTCATCATCCAAAAAATGAAAGACTGTGCCATTAATGTGAGAGCCTAGGCTGATACGGAATCCCAAACTATTCTTGTCAAAGAATTTGCACTTTCAGTCTTTTTAATAGTACTCTTTTTTATCAGCACTTGAATTCTTTTTTTAAGCACAGTGATATATATATGACAAAATTAAGTTAATTAAAAGATTAAATGGTTTCTTGAGGAACAAAGTTGTCCTACACACTCCTGCCAAGTATGTAAAAAGAGGCACTTCAATCAGGCTATTTTTTTCCCAATATTTTTCTTAAAATCACATACCAAGAAAATCAGTGTGCATCTACAGTAACATGTTAGTTTGAATAGGAGTGTGGCTTTGAAGTGAATTGCTTGACTGTACCCACTTACCACATTTTGTTCAGATCATGGTCTGGTCTTTGAGTGCACAAACTGGATTCCTTTTGGATGAAGCTAATTGGAAAGGTTTGCTTCAAGAAATAATGTGTGCTCAATCTGTAAAACCAGATTAGGACTAGTCTGTAGTAAAAGCCCTAAGATGTGTGTAGGATAGATCTCATGTCCTTAGCATTGATTTTTTCAGTCTAAAAATATGCTGCTTTCGCACCACACTAATTGTCTAAGCTTCCATCATCTACATAAAAGGTCTAAATTATTTAGGATGTTAAGAAGATTTTTTTTTTTGGCATCTGGAAATGGAAACAAAAATCCATTCTCAAAATATTGTATCAAAGTGAGTATCTTACCTTGAAGTCTATTATAATTGACTCCAATCTAGTGGTTCCCAAGGTTTTCTTTGACAGCTGCCAGCAAGATGGGCTGCATATTACTATTTGAGAAACCCATATATATATTGTTACTGCCTGAGGACTTTTCAAGTCAGGAAAGGACTCATCAACTGTCATCATGTAACCCACATGCAGGCTACATGGGACAACTGTATGGCTCATTATCAGTGCCCAAATCTGACCTTAAGCAGTGCTTTCCTTTCTCTTTAAAAACCTAGTTAAAGAACCATGCTCATCATTTGTCCTTTGAAGTAGGATCCTACTTCCTCTCTGCCTTGAACTAAGGAGTTGTGTTAAGACTTTGGCCACCATCACAATGCATATCTTCCCATACAGAAGGATTATCTTACAATCTTAAACATACATGATTCTCATTTTGGCATATACATAGAATTTTTTTGGAAGGTCTGTTATACAATACTTGCTTAACTTGAACTTCCTGTCTTGCCTACTTTGAAGTTTACTGCATGTTAAACACCATGAGCAGCTAATTCATGAGGCAGTCCCTGAAGACTGAAAGGTTAGTAGTCAGTTTGACTATATAGAGGTATAAAAAGAGATTATTTGCCCACTTTGTCCTTTTTTTCTGGGATTTTTTTGCTCTTGGAAGTGGTTATTGGAGAGAACAATAGATGTCTGAGATCAAATAAAAACAGGTTTCTAGGACTGCTTTGTCCATCAATACTTCAGAACACAGCAGCAATAAGGCATATTTGTGTAATGCTGAACTGAGTGACACCCAATCAGCTTCAGTTGCTGAGTCCTGTGCCTTCAGCTGAATCCCTAATATTATTATTTTGTGCACAGCTTAACAGTAAATAACCATTTGGACCCTTACTTTCTGCACTTCTCAAGATGACAACTAAATTTATTTCATTTTTGTGTTTACTAGAAAATAGCAGTGTGCAAATATCGCCAACAGGAACTTTAATATTGAGACACTTCAACCTGAGTGGAGTTTACACTTGTTCCATTGTTTATAAGCTAACAGCAATGCAACCTGATAAAAACCTCGTAATAAAATATCTTATATATGGTAAGTTATCAATCTAGGTAAGTGTATTGTTGCCTTGAAAAAAATTTATTTTTTAATGTGTGTTGCTATTTTTAAATAAGAAGGCTTATTTAGCATTCAATTTGCAGAGATAAAGACATTCTGTTTCTCTGGAAACTGTTTTTAATATTAGTTACTACCAGGCAGTTCATTTAATGTCATTTACAGAGCCTTAAATGAAGCTCAGTGGCTGACTGAAAAAGCTATGAATACAGTTGTTTTTAAAAAAGAAAAATAAAACATAATGAAATGTAACAAATTGAATAGGCAGTAATCCTTAATAACATTTAAATAGTATAATTTTAAACTGAATTATTCTTTATGAGATTAATTTTAGCACAGCTGTATGGATTTATTTCACACACATTAATGCCTTAATTATTACCTGATTGTGTTTTTTAAGTACGTATCATTTAATGATGTACTATTTCTGGCTTACTCTTTCCTGTTCTGATTACGTTTCCTTCTGTCAGCAGGTAAAAAGTCTTTGATAAAGTGAAAGATTGTAAAGGCAATGTCATTTATTCATTACCAGCTCTCCTTTTCTTCTTTAAAGGATACTTTATTCTTGTGGAGATGTAGGCAAGAGCTCCTATTGCCTTCAGCAGGAACTATGTCTGATCTTCAATTTAAAATGCGTACCATTGATCATTTAGAAACATGGTAGAGCACAATAACCTAAATTAACCTCTGATGTAAATTAATTTTACTTTGGCACAGTAGCCTTCATATGGAATAACCATGACTTTTAGCAGCTAGCTTGCTTGACAGAACTGGAAGGGAAAAGGTTTCTTTAAAACAGTTTTGATGGAAAAGGTTAGAGTTTTCAGTAATGCAGACTTACATCCTTCAGTAAGGATCCAATCTGAATGTTAGCATACAAAATTCAAGTTTCACACATATATACAAAAAAATCTGGAATATGCAGCAGCAAGGGAAAGGAAATGGGGGAGGCAAAAGCAAGGTAGAGGATCTAATGAGCTGTCTAAATTGGGTACCATATTTTGGATGTTCTGCTGCTTCTTTCAGCTGGTTCACTTTCTATTCCTTCGTTCTTTCGTCGCCACCGCTCCCTTCTCCTTTCTGTGATTATACCCACACCATGACCCCTGTTCTTCATTCTTTTACTCCAATTTTCTATTGTGCTCTGTTGATCTTCAGCTTTGGGTAAGTATAGTGATTATCATGAAATAACTAGAAACACGCATTGTATGGTACATTGGCTTGTAAAAGATGCCCAGGTGTGCATTTAGCTTCGCAGTAAAGGTGAAATAGTTGATCCATCCACAAAAGTAAATTTCATACCTATATGGAAGCTTTTTCAGTTGCTTCTGCTCACAGAGAAGGAATTCCTGTTCATCTTATTAACTGCATCTTCTATTGATCTCTGGGGAAGAGGATTCAGTTTTTAAGCCCTTTAAAATACTTTTGTGAAGTTGACTAAAAAATATATAGCATACTACTATAACTGGCCATAATGTGTGAGATGAAATATTGTGTCACATAGTAGAGGGTATTTTGTATGCTTAACCTTAGCTTTCATAATCTTGATCCCTTTACTGTAATGTCCTGTTGGTTTAAAAATTTAAAAAATACAAGAATAAAGAGTAAGACTTACCTATGGATATAAGTAAGAATGTCAACTTCTAAAAATCTCTTCAGTGTTTCCAACTGGCCCAGCATACGCTATTTTATCATTACAAATTCTCTGGAGGTGCAAAATAGGTTTTGTTTATAAAATAAGGATTTAAATTAGCAATTTTATTTTCAAATACACAAATTACTTTTCTTCTTTTTACTTCATATATGTTCCTTATCATCTTCCACATTTTTTCCTGCAGCTTATTCTGATCCTAAAAACTGCTATGAGTTCACAGCCCGGTATCACGCAGCCCCCTGCAACAGTTCTCATAATACTTCTTTTAAGAAAGCATTGCTTCAGATACTAAGCAAACTTGTTGCTGAACTTTCTTGTGAGGTTACATTAATTAAGTCAGAATGCCATCATGTAAAAATGCAGAGAGGAGGTCTACAGAATGAAATCTTCTTTACATTTTCAGGTAAAAATCTGCCTTGCTTTTAAAGAATGGTTAGAATTTTTATAGTTAATGAAATGTATTTACTGCTTGTATGCAGAAAGTATTGTAAGGGTTTAATAATAAAGTTTCTTGATTGTAAGAACGCTTCAAAGTATTGCATGTGAAATTCATGTCAGTATCATAAAGATAGTTGATCTACTCAAAAGCGCATATTTTACGTTATTTCAGAAGAGCTTTAGAACTTTTTATAGCTGCGGATAGATCAATATGTTTTTAATTTTGTATCATAAAACATTATCATGTCCCTTGTTGCACACTAACATAGGAAGGAAGGTGATACAGTGTATTCTGTAACTCCCCAGACTACCTTCATCTAGCCACCTACAACAGGTGTATAAATCACTTCATGGATGTGTGTTGGTCTTTATAAACAGCTTCCAAATAACAGACTAAGACTGGATGTCTAATTTTCAAGAACTAAAGTTAAATAAGATGAACCTCAGTACTTTTCCTTCTTTAAGTGGCAACAATAAAAGAGGGAGATTTCCTTATTTTCCATTTCTTTAAAACAAAAGGACCCTAAAGGAGACCTGGGTAAAACTGAGTTGCCAAAAATATTGAGTTGGCTTGATTTAAAGCAAATCATTAGGTGGCTTGGGAAGATGTCACCAAATTATGGGATATTTAAGGATTCTTACTGACTGTGATTATGTATTGTAATAATTATAAAACTTTCTATCTGATATTTGGGTGTGTTTATACATAAATTAGTTTATGTTTATGCATAAATGAAGACCTCACAATGTCTTAGTTAATTATCCTCCTTTGATCAAGTTTAGTTATTAAAAATACATTTTCACTTTAACATGAACTTGTTTTCATAAAATGTTTCCATTACCAGCTTTTCACTAAAGGCATTAACTGTGGAAGTCATAGAGTAGAATCATAGAATCATTTAGGTTGGAAAAGACCTTTAAGATCATTGAGTCCAACCGTTAACCTAGCACTGCCAAGTCTACTACGAAACCACGTCCCTGAAAAATGTTTCCATTACCAGCTTTTCACTAAAGGCATTAACTGTGGAAGTCATAGAGTAGAATCATAGAATCATTTAGGTTGGAAAAGACCTTTAAGATCATTGAGTCCAACCGTTAACCTAGCACTGCCAAGTCTACTACGAAACCACGTCCCTGAACACCATATCTACACTCTTTTAAATTACCTCGAGGGATGGTGACTCCCCCACTTCCCTGGGCAGCCTGTTCCAATGCTTGACAACCCTTTCGGCGAAG